TATAGCATAGACGCAGGCATGTGGCATTCCAGCTTATATACACTCTCAGAAAAGAATTCTAGATACAATACTATTAGGATCGAAATAGGGCCAATCATATTTAGTATTGAAAGAAGAATATTTTAATCTTAAATAAAGGAATTCTTAAATTAGACTTCTAGAAAAAAGAATATTTTAATCTTAAATAGAGATATTCTTAAATCTAGAATAAAATAATCTTGATGCTATCCCTCTAATTTTCTCAGAATTATTCTAGATTCAAGAATTCCTCTATTTAAGATTAAAATATTCTTCTTTTAATACTAAATATGATTGGCCTTATTTCGATCCTAATAGTATTGTATCTAGAATTCTTTTCTGAGAGTGTACATTTTGCGTATGTTAGTTACGTCGCATTGGACGGAGTGACCATCGGACGAGGAGTGGCCGAACGAAAGAGCGACTCCCCCGAATCGGGTTTGCAGAGGTGCGGACGAGAGTCGAGGGTACGATTACGTGGACCTCCGGCGTACTGACCACAGGTCGTTGGTTTTTTTTGCGGTCGCTTGTGTAACAGCCGTTCGGCCGCGTTGATCTTTAACCATACCGCGTACCTCAATCTGAGCAACGCCACCGAAGGGGAATTCCGTCCCAAAAGTAATCTTATTTCTCTCGGTCTCCCTCGTCATTGCGGGGCGGGGCGAGCTGTATCGAATTCCGAGGGTGAACGCGGAACTAAAATTACGACGCGTCTTCTCCACCAAGATTTTTCTGAGATAGGAGAAGAAAAAAAAATACACAGAGACTGGAGAATGTTTCTTAGACATCTGTCAGGCTCTTACGTTGTTCGGAAAACTCCTCGCAATGCTCGCAGTGGGACGCTCAACGCGATTTCACGAAGGGACGATCGGCCGGCCCGTTGCACCCATGACGAGAGAGAGTGCAGAGCGAAACTTGTGTTTCACAATGGGTAACGAGATTACGCGTACCGCCTCGTCCGCTCGGGCCGCACGGAAATGCACGTCGAGAAGTTACATCGGAGTGCGTTCCGGCACTCCCGTTCAGTTTCGTACGAAGCGAACGTGCTAGGTTTACCGTCAGGAAGGCCTTTTCGTGTTCGACCTCTTCTGTAAAAGCACACTGTGAGCAACGCTCGTCAGATCAAAGAGCGATTCCGACGACGATCGATCGGTCTGGAGTGTACTGTACAGGGCATCCCGGAACGCTTGACTTTACATTTTTATGGCGAAATCATCGACAGATTCGACGAGAGAGAATTTTATTTATCCCGGTAGAAATTTCTCTAAAAATAATAGAATCTATTAATACATCGATAAATAAAATTTCAAAGGTGAATAAATAAATTTGAATTATTTTGCACCGTGTGTCAGATCGACCGATTGTGTGCGTTCTTACGAAAATTTGCAAACGTTCTCTCTGTACATGACGTAAATAATTAAATTTCAAATGTCAGCTTCGCTCTTTGTAGCAGAAAGCTGTACTCCCGTTTATTCCTTGCACAAAGAACACGTTGCTTACAGTCAAAATACAGGCGAGTCGATCTACTTTATGCCAATTGCTTTCCGACAAGAGAGAATTTATCACCAAAACTTAGGGACGCTTAAATTTTATCCGGTTTTCGAAACTTTCGACTTCTCGGGCATTCAACAACACGAATATTGATACTGCTCGATACTTTCGTGGGTGGTAACTAAAAGGAAAGTTTCTATTGATGATGAAAGTCTAGCTGAAATCTCATGCGACTAATTAATATATATTATTAAGAATATACAGATTACATATATTATTTCATACAATTATTGCAGTTACATTTTGACAAATCGGGTTGGGTTATAAGCAACAAATACTTATTTTTTCTTCTGCGCACTTTAAATGACTCAGTGTCTCCGTAATCAATCGCTAGTAATAAACTCATAAATTGTTCAGAAATATCCAAGTAAAAGAAATAAGTATTTGTTATATGGTCACACTTGCGATCTTGTAAATTCTAAAAATAGTGTATCTTCTTCGTCAAAATACGATTCTTTAAAGCAAGCGTTCGTTCTTACCCCACGGGGCTGATTTCGAGTACTGGGACGCCTTGAACTTGAAGCATTCGTGCTTCTGAAAAGAAGCGCTCGGATGTGTGTAACATTTTCTGCTTTGCGCGTTTCACGAGATCACGAATTTAAAAGTGGGTCGAGGTGATACCGATGATGACGATGACAACGACGGCGACGACGACGACGACGGCAACGGCAACGATGACGATGACGATGACGACGATGACGACGAGCACTACGTGTCCGACGTCTTGTCCTGGTTCATGTAGGGCGGAATGGTACGCAAACACTCTGTATGGCTCAGGACGATACGGCTGGCTCGTTCATGCTGCTACGGACAGTGTTAGACTCCCGATGATGACAATGATGACATAACGAGGGAATGCATCCGCCGATCGTGTGATGCTGACGCCGACGTTCGCCGACGTTTAGACGCGGTTAAACCACACTGATAATGACGACACCGCCGCGAGCTGCTAATCGCCCTTCCGATAGCTGTCGATTGCCCGCCGGCTGTTTTGCTGACAGTCCGCAGGTCCATGATTGGAATAAGACGCAATCCAATCTTCATCAAGTTAGTTGGATCGATATGCCAGGGAGATATGCAGATTAAAATTAGAAAGACAGTCGACTTAATGATTCTTGTTGCTGTGAATAATTTTTGACGTCTCAAACGAGAGCATTTCGAAATATGGTTACGGCGATGAGAATAGCTTTCCACGAAGGATACACTATTCGCGGAATAATTTAGAAATCGAAAGGATACCTCCGCCTGATCTATCGAAATCAGTTGACAGCAACCGATTGAAACATCTCCGCTTGGCGGAGATTACATCTGTTATTCTGACTTTACCGTATGTAACATCCGTCACGCCCGCGCAATTTTCCGTGTGCGATGCCGTGTGCGACGCCGATGTTTCACAGCGTCAATTTCTAATATCGTCAAACGTCGCGCGTTAACTTCGTCGACGATTGACGTGCGAACTGCGCGAAGGCGTTCAACGTCTCGCTTGTTGACGCGTCGTCGTCGACACGGCGCCATGGAGTTCGCCACCCGAGGGACTCGAACAATGGCACCCTCCGAAGCGCGGAAATTGTGCGTTCCGCGGCGCGATGTCGAACGCGCGTCACATCCGCGTTGTATATTCGCCGCGCGCGCGCGCGTTTTTTTGTGCGTAACCGTTCAAAGGACGGGGCCGCGGTCGTCTCGCTTTGACACTAATCGGACCGTGATGGCGACATGGAAATTTCGTTCGATAATATCGCGCAGGAGTTGCAAACAGGGACGGCTGGCTCCGGGTTTTCTGCCGTTCCGAGCAAAGAAATCCCAGCGAGCCTCTCGCGCCACCCATGGATATATCCTTTATTTTTTTCCTTTCCATTTTTATTCGCGTCTATATTCTATATAGCGCGCGTCAACTTTTTTCCCAAAGCTCTTCTTGTTTCGCGTACAAAAGAGAAACGATGATCGAAAACGCCGTTCAAGCAAACCAAGTTCCAACCGTCCCTCGCGGCATGAATATTTTCATTGGGTCTCTATCTCTCGACGATTTCGTTCTGTGTATTCGTTCTGTACAGAGTTTTCCGAGATTTTTGTGCTTTAGGGAATTTTCGGGCGAAAAAAGAAATCAGGCAAAATCCGTTCCTGCGAATATATACCGCGCTCCGGCGTCGGGCGAACGTAGGGACCGGCGCGCTCCGTCGATTCGCAAAGTTCCCGATTCATCCCCGGGATCGGCTTAAATTCGACACTAGCGCGTGAGGCACGTCGTCGGGTATAACGTTCCGACGACGACGGGGTGGCGGTAGTCATCGATTTTTCATCGCGTTTCCGCTTATCCGATCTTTCATATTTCAACCGCTCGATTGTATGCCGGCGCGCACAATTTATTTAGCTTCCGTCGATCCGTATCTCGCGATTCGCGTCGTTCGTCCCGCGAGGTATCGATTGTCCTGGACGCCCGGCTATTACCTTCGGGGAACGCGCGCGAGTGGTATACTCGCGTTCCATGCGAGTAAACAGACGGGTATATATACGAGAAAATTCGTTTCGCGGTATCATCGCGCGACGACCGATATTCCGTGCAGGATTCCACGGAATAACGCTCTCGCGTCCCCCCTGGTGCATTATTTCCGCGGCCGCGATTTCTCAATGAGCGACGAGGCTCCCGCGCGAAGAAATCCGGTAGATCGAGCCGAGGAAAACCACTCGATGCAAAATGAGGAAATCGAATAGTCGAGAGGAAAGACACGATTTGAAATATAATCTATGGATCCACTTGAATTTATCGAATGCGAATCCTTCTAATGCGATCGAAAGTAGATTGCTATACGGGGCTAAACGCGTCGACTTAATCGGATAAGTTTTGAATGAACGAATTAGAAGCGGGACGCTTCTAAACGAGAGCAATGTATTTTTGCGTTACGTCAGTGTATAAAAACGTGTATAAAAAAAAAAGACGATTAACGCGAAACGGTTACTGAAACAGTGCTTCACACTTTAGGGCGAAGTTTACTGCGCGCATTTTAAGATCACGGTTAAACGTTTTCCCTGGTATCGGGGCCGGCGTTACGTTTTAATGATGATAAACGCGCCGGAACGCCCGGCCCGTCGGGCGTTAAATCCGATTCGTTCGAACGTGGCACGCGGGGGGCAAGGAGATGGCAACGGCTAAATCGAAAAAGAAAGGGATAAGCGACACTGGAAGATCGCTGGACAGATAAATGAGAACTGTCGAACGAAAATCCGTAAAAATTTCGAACAGATATAAGATGTCTCGAATATATAAGGTACATTAAGCACATCTCACAACTCATCGTCAATCGCAGATGGTTCAGAGAGAAGGGGATCCTAAGAAATTTCATCATACCACACACACGCACACATCTCTACCTCGATGTATCTGACTGCTGCTCAGCGATTGATTAATTTTGTGTTTGTTCTGTTTGCCATGTTAGATGGGCCCGCGGTTGTCCGCGTCAACATATTTGTTCGAAGTATCTCAAAAATAGATGACGTTACTATGGTAAGTTGAAAAAGAGAATGCAAAACGCTCCGCGATCACAGACACACACATGTGCCTTTTATATATATATATATATCTATACTGTACACAAGTAAACAATACAATTATCTAATGCTGGGTGTTTCGTTTACCACGTATCACAAGTCAGCGCATATACCCTGAAGAAGCTGTGTGTGTGCTATACATCGACGTAACGCACCCGACGACACGCGTTGCGAACGCGTTTTCGGCGTTTTCCTCGGCCACGCGTCTCGCGCCGCGTGCGCTGCGGAGATGTATAACGATCACATTACCGATTCCATCAAGTCACGATACACAGGGGATCCCATCGTTACCGGTGGATAGCCTGATGACGTTATTCTCCGAAAATTGGAGTTCATTTCTTTCGCCGCGGTAATTCGACATAACGAAGAAAATTGCGGACTTTATTCCCTAAAAATATACTGCGATAATAGACAAATTCTTGCTCTCCACAACTGATTTAACTCAAGATTAGATCTTATATATTGGCCAAGATTTTGCTCGCAGCTTGATTGCGGAAATAGGCCGCGATGAGACGCAGGGAAAATTATATTTTGCCAAGGAAAATTCGACTACAATCGGCCGCGTTTCGTCGGTGGAGTATCCTCCGACATTGATGGGAAATGCCTGTGCGCACACATAGTTAATTTACTTGTTATCATTAAGTCGCTGTATAGTATCCTTCTAATGCCCTTTTTGATCTCACGATATATAGACGACACATTTTTCAATCTACTTCTTTGTGTCTCTCTTCTCCTCCTCGTGCTAAACAACAAAACACCCGTTGCGTATCTTGAGGCCCGCTCTCGTGGCTCTTTTGTATAATCTCCACCTACCGTCATGTTCTCTACGTTAAGCAAGTATCTATTCTGTATGTCTATGAATGAGTTGAGACTTACGAATAGCACGACGCGCGGCTCTTTACCGCCTTCGCCTTCGGTCGATATTAAACCAGCTGTACTAAACGCATGGCGAAGACGCGCTTCTGCATCCTCGTGAAATTTGGATCGTATAAGAATGAAGAGGAGTGACGAAAGAATGTGATACTATAACTTGTTAACATACATAATAGCTACATAAGTATGTGACAGACAATCTATAACTGTATGCGCGAATCGCTGTTACTTTTACTTATTCGCGCGGCGAGCTGCATCCGAGTGAGAAAAATTTCAAGGTTCGCAAAATAAAGTAAACTGCAACGGCCGAAGCAGCTATGTATATAATTGTGCAGAAATTAGATAACAGCAAAAATAATCCATAAATTTCCATTTTAATACCCGTCGGAACTTAATTATGCCCGGGAATTGTATTTCCATATATTAAATTGTTCCGAGACAATCTGTTTTTCTTGTTCCGCAATCTCATCATTCCCGCGATCCGGATTCGGTTCAGTGTTTTTCTCGCGATTTTTCTCCCCTCTGTCTGCTTATTGTTAGCGTCGTGCTGTGCGTAATTATGAGATTCCATTAGAGTATAATAGTGTCGCTCTCACCCGCTGTTGTGTGGTAGATGATTTGATGGAGTTTCATCTCTTTTTGACTTGTTTCGATTATGTTTATCCGCGTTGAGTCTTTAATGCCAAGTATATATACATACACATATACACGCTGCCTCGCCAAATACAGCAAACACGTATATACCACACACATATACATACACACACACGTCATTTTCTTTCCCTCTCTCTCTCTCTCTCTCTCTCTCTCTCTTTCTCCCTCCTTTCTCTCATTTACTATTCCTCATTTATTCGCACACACGTCTCTTTTTTCGTCTCCTCTCTTTATCTTTTTTTCACAATATTTGATGCTACACATTGATCACTTATTAGATATATACGTACATACAATACATACGCGCAATGTATAACGCTCTATGTGTATCATATACCTACATAATAGAAGACATGCCTACACATATGTACATATATTATCAGATATAACGTTGACTTATTCTTTAATTCTTTACTGCACCGTGCGACAACACACTCGCTAAGGCATTCTCATGCTGCTACATCTCTGCGGTAGTGTGCAACCCTTTTTTATCTCATTCTTGGTAATGAACTTTTTTTTCCAATTGCTATAACAGAACACAGTATAACCGTACCTGTACGCCGTACCAGTTAAGTCGTCTATATGAAAATTAAACACTTACGTGCAATATATCCGAGAAAACGATCTCGGTAAAAAATGCTCCTTGCAGTCGTTGCGGAAATGATTCGGAGGCGCAAGTCACGTCGACAATGTAATCACCAGCGCGTATCAGCGACCAATGCAATTTAATTGCAAGAATAAATTGTTTCTACATGCCGCATTGCGCGCGAGCCGAGAGATTTATATTCAGGATATGCTTCATTTCTCTCTGTTTTCGTGCCGAGTACGTATAGGTGCAGGCTCTCGTCTACTATTTATCAAGCGGGAGTAGGGCAGGGCGCCGTGTAATACTCTCTTCATCGAGCAACGCGCAAAACTTGCATAGAAAAACAAATCAGAATTATAATTGCAAATACATCCGTGATTAAACGTAAATGCATTTGTGTGTCCCGGTAAATTTAAAAAAAATATGTTTACGTCGTATTTGTTTTCCTTGATGTGCTCGCGGCCAAACGGAGCGAGCGACCGACGGCGACGGTCCGCCGCGCCGCGCCGATCGGTGTACTTTTAGAACAATGACGAGAGGAATGGAACGCACGTTTGGCAAATACGCTCATTTAGCAGAAAATAGCCCGGGGGTTGTGTGCCGCGAACGACGCGACACGGCGGCAACGGCGACGAGACATTGTGCTGCCGCGACAGAGCCGGGGATTAACCGCGAATTGCCAATTGCGACTACGACGACGACGTCGCGGAGGCAGCGTAATTAGACAGGCCTGGTACCAATTAATTATACACTGGGGACTGGCGACGACGCGAAAGGCGACTTTGTCGTTGGAGGTCTCGTTATAGAGCTCCAATTTCCAGCCCGCGTTCTCACCGAAGCGAGCCCCACTTTGAGTCACATTCGTTTACCGATCGATCTCCGTGATTAACCCACCGCCGTTTGCGGACCGCCGTTTAAATATTCACGCGCTAAGTGCGAGAAAAGATGATGACATTTAAAAATTTATCGGGCATGACGAAGGTATGTGGTGTGTGTGTATGTGTGTGTGTGCAATACGTCTGTGGGGGTATGTGTCTGCCGTAATTTATTTAGCAGTCGATACCCGCACATGAATTACTAAAGAAGATAGTTCCACTAGTTTGATTTTCTAAAATCAAACACACGCTATAATGATAATATATATATGTACTATTGGAAACTTGTACGCAAAAACGATAATATTATACAAGAATTCAATTGTGATAATACAATGATAACGATGGATAATTTCTGTATATAGGAGCTTAAAATTATCAGCTTTAAAATTCCAAGTGCGTACATGCGAACTGATGCTACCGATATATACGACACGTGCTTTTTCTTCGTCGAAGTGTCGAAGAGGTGTTGGGTTAATCGCGACGGATCTCAGATTCGTATCTCCTTAAGCATTATATGGCCGTCTCTTTATCAGGTGGTACTCGGATGTTGTCGCTCTTGAAGCTCACTTCATCCGCGCCGATATCCTTACCACTTGTCGGAATAGATATTAGATGACATGATAAAGAAGACACGAGAGAGAAAGGAAGAGAGAGAGAGAGAGAGAGAGAGAGAGAGAGAGAGAGAGAGAGAATTTGTGATTGGAGAATAAAAAAGACCTTCTTTGAATATAATAAGACAAAGGTCAACTTCATATATATATATATATATATATATATAATATAAATATATTTTGTATAAACAAAATTAGAGAGCAAATTATAAGCACATAAATATCTATGGCAATTATTGAAGCAGAATTAATCAGAAGAATCAATTCAATTATGTCACTGAGAAGGATCGTGCTTCTGGTATTCTTATGATATTTTATTATTTCAGTAGTTGTCATAAATATTTACACACTTATTTCTGCATACTGACTCTAATTGGCTTTTATCTCCTTACTGCAAGGAAATATAGAGCTTTGCGATATTGTCATTGCCAGCGACAGCAGAATTATTCTTGGACGCCTACTACATCCAGTTTGACTGCATTTAATTGTTTACAAGCGCCAGCAGATTAACTTAATCCTTCAATTCAACTTCAAAGTAGCGCGCTACGTCTTCCCCTTAATTTCTCAATGCTATAAACCGCAATTTATGTTTCAGAATGTGTACTTGTAGGAAACAAATATATCAGAGAAACCTAGTTTACGTGTCACTAAATCAGTTTTCCGCGAGGAAAAAGTAGGGAAGATGTCCGTCGTCCTCGAATTCGTTTGAAATACAGAAACGACCGTTCTCTCCAGCGATTCACAAATTGTCACACGATTGTCCAGTAAGCCTCACTGGAGCGGCAATATCCGAGGCCCGCTTATTAGATTACGACAGTTTAATGCAACTGCAATGTGCCGATTAGCGACACAAAACATTTCCTGATCTGCCCGGCGCTTAATAGAGCCCAGGTCAGAAGCGCATTTTGGTCCGGCGGTATTCCGAAAAGTAAAGAAAATTACTGTCACAGTTTAAAATATGGGAATCTTTCGTAAAAATTCTTTGCTCGAATTATCTACTTTTCCTTGACAAAGATATATACCATGCCTCGAGCCTAAACGCGCGAACTTATATATTGCCGTTGCGAGAATTTTGCTTCGATACGAATCTCCGTCAATTGTCACGCTTTTCTGAAGTAAACGTTAATGAATGTGAGAGCGACGGTTCGCGACTTTTCAACGGTTCGTTAAAACTAGACGCTGCTTGAACAGTCAGCGTTTAGCGAATGTCAGCGGAGCGAAAAGAATTGCATTTCAGGGGTTGTCAAAGATTTAACGGACGCGGACGTTCCGTTAAATCGATACGCTTTTTCTTTATAGGTACGTCCACCTTTCCTACACAGCGTCACGCATACACTTACTAAGCGTCTCCACC